TAAAAACCGACGCTATGTTCACTTTGAGTTGGTCATCCCCCCCCCTCACCACACACCTCACCACCACAATTGTGTAGAGCGACATTAATGTCACACCTAGGTATACACTGGGTTGGATAATTGACCTAAAGTGAACGGACAGTGGTGAATGAAAGAAGTTGAACCCACCCCCCCCCCCCCCCACCTACCCCGAGCTGATCTGTTAAGTACATGTAGAGAAACTCTGAAATAGTACTCAAGTTATAGGCTTTTGAAAAATTCAAAGTAGAAAAAGTACCACTTCCGGTTATCGGAAATCGCTCAAAAGTTGATCAGGATCTACGATTTTGATAAAATATTTGATATGAAATTTCATCAACCTAGCTGTAACGGTACTCAAGTTATCGTGTTTACACACAGACAGACAGACACACTCACAGACATACGGACAAGATTGCAAAATTATGTTTTTCCGTATCAGTGAGGTGTAAAACGTCGAGGTTTGTAAAAATCTCGATTTTTTATTTTGCACGATTACAAGACTTTCTCTATACTTCGTATATACGAGAAAGTAAAAAAAATGATCTTTAAAGAACACAAAGAAGCAGTAGTTAAAAATATATGATCTGAAATAAAAAAACCTATATTTAGTTAAATGTCGGATGTTAAACCGAATGTTCCTCTACTTTATCGAAAAGCAAGGTTTTATACCAACTCTGATTTTAAAAACTTTCATTATGCTGTAATACTTTAGCACTTATGATGACGATATATTAAATTATGATTATAGACAAAAACATTTTGTAAACACGAATAGAATTAAATAATTTCATTATATTCTAAAGTAATTATTTATTTGTTTTGACATTTATAATTAAATGTGTAGATATATACATATTTATATTGAGAGAGTGATTATTTCCCCTATTTAGCTTGTCTTAAATAATTTCCCAGGAATTATTATGTAAAAAATTTATTTTACAAGAATTACAAAACAGATTGTGTTACGTTCATTGTTTTTGGCTGTAGTGTGTGTGTATATATATATATTTTGTTTAGATTGATACAATTTTTGTTTTGTCGGCCTACATTGTGTGTTTTTTCTTATTTCTTCAGAGTGCTACTTTCAATTTATTTTACATCATAGTGAAGTAATGACATACAGCTTGTATATGTATATATATATATATATATATATATATATATATATATATATATATATATATATATATATATATATATAATACACATATATAGAACATGTATCTATATATAATACACGTATATTGAACGTGTTAAAAATTCGGCGCCTTTTTTTGCTCTTTTCGCTCCCCCTACAACGAAAACCTGGATACGCCTCTGCTCATGGCTTCTGTCTCCGTTGTATCCATAATCTACAACTAGATCTAGAGTCTAGACTAGACTCTAGACAAGTGAGATCTATTCTAATTTCCAGACTCTAGCTAGCTAAATCTAGGATTCTAGGACTGACTAGATCTAGATCTAGACACTCTAGAATACTAGATATAGATCTAGATTTCTAGATCTAGATCTAGCTAGAGTGCTGCTAGAGTGCTAGAGTCTAGCTACTGCTAGAGAATCTAATCTAGAGTTTAAAAGTATGTTGAGTCTAGAGATATTTCTAGAATCTAGATCTAGACGTGTCTAGATCTAGATCTAGACGTGTCTAGCTAGATCTAGATCTAGATCTAGATTCTACTTTTCAGTTTTATATCAAAATCTAGATTATTAAGTCTAGATCTAGAGATATAGACTAGATCTACTCTAGATTTCTAGATCTGGATTCTAGAGATCCAGTTTCTAGATCTAGATTCTAGAGTTAGAGATCTAGCTAGAGTCTAGATCGAGATTTATAGATCTAGATCTAGAATTTAGATCTAGTATAATATAGCTAGATCTAGACATAGACTCCATGGCATAGAGCCAAGAGTTTTAGTCTTCTTAAGAGTAGTACTTAAGTAGACCTAGATTTAAATTAAATCTTAGGTAGTCTAGATCCAGGATCTAAATCTAGTACAGTAGTAATAGATATATCTAGATCTATATTATGTTTTAAATAGTTTATATTATAGTTATAGTATAAGTATAGGGACAATCTAGATCTGGAAAAGGATGATATATCTATTTAAAATCTATTCTAGATCTAGATTTATAATATCTATTCTATAGGCCCTACATCTAAGGCCTAGGGTATTCCTTATACTGCTATTCACAGCCGACTGTAAAAAGACACTCCGAACATCTAATGATATTGATCTACATCTAGAGTCTAAGAAAAGGGTGGAGGTTAACATTTAGGTTTTAGATCCATAATTTGACCAATAATTATAAAATAAAAATAATGCAAAGAATATAATCATTGAACCAAGTAAATTTAAGTAAATTAGGCTATAACAAATAGAAGTATGAAGCCGTACCATTTTAAGCAGTAAAAAAATTATCTTAAAGTATTTAGTATGAAGTCTGTAAGAAGACCTTTTTGGGATTAATAGAGGAGTATTTTCAATTGTTATGTAAATTTTTTGTTTTAATAATTAACTATATGCTATAGGACCATAAATAAGTAGATCTACAACAAATATGAAACTATAAAGGACAAACTGTTTATCTTTCAAAAGTTAATGTTTTTACATTTTATTAAGACCTAAGAATTCATTTGAAATAGATTCTACTAATCTTTTCTATGTGACTACTATTCTCTTTATATTCATAATAGTTCAAAACTAAATGTTATAACTGATTTTTATTAAGCTCATTAAAGATCCAGGCTAATTAGGTAACTTATTTGCTGTAATTACTACCAAACAAGATTCTTCTGAAAATATTTTTATTTAACCCTTTATTGCATGAATTATTGGTTTACTTGGTAAAATTTTTTTGACTTCATATTTCTACAGCAAATGGACTAACTTGAGATGTAGGGAATTTTTTTTTGAATAGATGATAAATATCACAACAATTTTGGTCGTTGCAATTCTGCAACTATGCGCAACGGTCAAACTTTTTATCCATAATAAGCAAAAAAAAAAATTTATATAGAATTGTTGATAGAAATGTAAATAACTTGTACAAATCATTTGAGAGTAACAATAGTAACATGTAAGCTTATTTATGATGAAAACAAAAGTAAAAACATGTACACTGAAAGAGAAAAAAACAACTGAAAAATTACATGAAGGTTTATTTAGTAAAAAATTTATTAGCATTTTTTTTGTTTGCTATACAACAAATAAAAACTTCTGTGCATTCTTGGTGCAGGACAACCTGCAACTAAATGATGAACTAAATGATATTGTCTATGTAAATCTTGAGCCCAACATATTGGGGAACACTCTGTAATAATGTCTGCTCAATATTAGCAACAGCACTTTGTCATCTTGCCCCTTTGTAGCTTTACCTGTATGCACTTCAAAATCTTGGATTATACAAGTTGTTGGACACAACAAAGACTTTGTAGCCCATCTATATGGCTTTCTATGGTTGTAGGTTGGACTGCTTTTGCCTACGATATGTGAATGGGTCAATTTGCTCATGAATACTTAGAATCTCAGATGGCATGGGGTTTGATAAGCACAGAATTCCGACATTGGTCAACTTCTGCCCTTTGAACATTGTTTGACAGGTGTAGCTTATTCTTAATCCACTCGAATCTATTGATGGTTATGTCTGTGACAGTAACACATTAGGTGACAAGGCACCAAGATCTTTGGTATCTAGGATTTTTTTTACAATGTTTATGTAAAACACAATTTCCAGGAGATGTTTTTGTTCATCTTTATCCAGTACTAGTGGATTGTTTATGTCCTGCTGAGGACATAGGTGTATATTATTCTTTATCCGCTTGAATCTGTTGATGGTCATGATGTATTGACCGTAACACATTTGGTCGCAAGTCTCCAATACACTCGGCATATATGAGTTTTTACAATGTTTATGTAATACACACAATTCCTAGGAAATGTTTTAGCTCATTCTTATCCAGTGCTAATGGATTGTTTGTCCTGTGGAGGACATTGTTTGACAGGTGCAGATTATTCTTATTCCGCTTGAATCTGTTGATGGTCATGACGTATGTGACCGTAACAAACTTGGTGGCAAGGCTCCAATACACTCAGCATTTAGGAATTTTTTACATTGTTTATGTAAAATCTAATTTCCAGGAATAATCTTTATCCAGTGCTAAAGGACTGTTGATGTCATGTTAGAGGACAGTACAGGTTGGATTGATACACAACTGTCCGAACACAGATTATCTATAAAGATGTTGTTGAAATAATCCAATGGCCGCCTCTGATGTTTGGCTTCTCTCCTAGGATCAGGAAATGGTGGAACATTTGCTGTATACTGGGACTGATCATTCTGTTGTTGCTAATGAAGACCTTGGTGTAGACAATTGAGAAGGTCCTGAGGAGTTTCATCATTTTTCGCAAATGGGCATACTCTATAGAAATAAATTTTGAGAACATTATTTGGTTATAAATTATGCAATAATTGTAAACAAAACAATAAATGCTTTACTAATCTACAATCAAACCTTTAAAGTATGCAAAAATAATGTTACCTTCAACTACGTCAGACAAAAGTGTGATCTGAACTTTTGGGCATGGGAATATTCTAAACTAATTAGATTAGGCAATGTATTTACAGAAGCTGTTGAGCATTTACATTGTGTATTTTTCTTGTTTCAATAAGTTACAGTTGCTGCATACTTAGTTCTGATGTGTTAATTGATATTGCTAATTACTATACAACACTCAATATAGTTATTAAATATAGTTGAGAAAAATTAACAGCAAATTATCTGATAAGCATATTAAGTCTATATGGTTTACAAAAAAATTGCAATTAAACTAAATATTGATTAGCTTAGATTTAACTTAAATTTGCTCTTCTACTTCTAGGCTCACACTTCTGACTTTAATTAAAATAAGTTATTTTTTTTTAAATAAACATTGATCAAAATTGTTTCCATGAGAATAATCAGATGCTTTTGTTTTTAGGTTTAGTGGACAATTGTGAGTGACAGCTGGTTGATATCCAAACATTTGTATAACAGTTAAGCAGGTAATTTTATTCTGCATTTTTAAGGTCTCATTTTCAAATAAAACACCTTCTTAAGAAAAATAAATAGTTGAAAATCGCAAATAATTTATTAAAATCTTTATCAAAAGCTAATATCAAATAAATAATAAGCTTATATGTGCTATGTTTATACCCAAAAAAATTATCAACAGTGTTTTTATTCGTGGTAAAAATTTTAAGTAGCTTTTTCACTATTTAGTAGAAACAAATCTATTTTAAATTACAATACTACATGTTTATTAAACTTGAGGAACTTTTATCTGCAGGTGTAAAGTTAATTCTGCACTTATTAAGCCCTAGTTATTATTTGATATTAATGATCTATTTTCATATCTACAGTAAAACAAACTATGAAAAACCAAAACAAAGGGACAGAAGGAAAATTGGAGCCATCAAGTACACCTGAAGGTAGAGCCAGATAAATGTTACATCATTCTTTTAACCAAATCTTTAAGTAATTTTGCTAATTTAAAATCTATTGTAGCATTTTTAGCATTCAAAAACTTTAAAAATCAACTCCTTAATAACCTTTATGTAATATCTATAAGTGTAAAAACAAATTGTTCAATACCCAATGAATTTGATGAAAATGTATTTTATTACACACATGACTTTGAACTTTGAGAGGGTATAATAACGCTGTAACTGTAAGAGTTTATCTCAGTAATGCAACATTTCTTGTCACTGTAATTATAAAGTAATGTATGTGTTAGTTTCTTATAATTTTATTTTAGATGTGCCATACTGTGAGAGCCCAAGTAAAGTTTTTAAAAGTGACCAAACAGGTGTCTTTATTCCAGGTGAGATATGATAAACATAAGACAACTCTAATCTAAACAATTATAAATCTGTGCTAGTATAAACACGTAGATGACTTTAGTACAGTAAATGTAAAGTTGATGAAATGAAGGACATGGTAAAAGTTTAATTTATACCTATATCAGTTTGCTAAATCAAGTGTTAGTGTAAACATAGTATAGCTAATCAAAATAATAATAGGTGCATTTTATATCAATGTCTAAATTTTTAGGCTGTTTAAGCAATCTGTTTCCCCTATTCCTGTAGGAAATCATGAAGCTGAGATGTGCTATGGAGGAGAAGCTGATCTACACAAACATGTTACTGGCTGTAAGAAGAATCCAGGTCACAAAGGTTTTATACCTCTTAAAGATTTCAACATAAATTACCTCCCTTCACGTTACCATGACGACGTGTTCATGTCTGAGACAATCAAAACAATGGCAGCCATAACTGTCCAGGTAAAGACTAAATTCACCAGTCTAGAGAGACCAGAGTTTTACCCAGGCACTAAAGTTCCATATCCATGTTATAATGACAGAGGAAGTCACGTGATGAGGTTAGGGACGGGGAGGGTGTATGAGGTGTTCAAGTACAGAGAGAGAAACAGATGGGGAACTTGTCGTTGTGCAAAGTGTCAAGTCTCTGCCACACCCAGCAAAGTGTGGGGGGAGGTTCTTGTGGTGACAGCCACACACGTGGTGTTTGATAACAGTGAGGCGAGACAGACCAGGTGTGTTTTAGGTTTTGATGACAATAAAAGTCCAGTGGTCAGTCTTGATGGCTGGGAGGTGAGGGGTGTGCCAGACATTGAGAGAGACTGGTGTAATATGGGTTATGTGACATGTGACTTAGAGTTGGTCGATGAACTGGACAAGATGTGTGAGCACTTTGATGATCTATGTAGGGAAGTAAGGAACAAATACAGTAGATTTGTTGATGTGGACAAGTTGACCGTTATAGTGTCACATCCTCATGGCTGTCCTAAACAGATCTCTGTTGGACAATGGACACACAAACATGAGAGATTTGGCAGGTGGACCAGGTACTGGTACACAACATGTACATGTCCAGGCTCCAGTGGAGCGACTGTCTACAGGCTGGGATATGACAGGTGGTTGTCTCGCCATCCCCACAGTGGAACAAACTCTGAAGGAAATTATAGTGGGGAGTGGAGGTACTGATGTAACTGTTAGTTCTCTCCCCTTGTCTACACAATGTATACAAACAAAATGGCGGAACCTTTCCCGTCCTTAAACTGTTTGTGTTAATACTTTCATGTCTTGTAAACATTTTATTACATTTAAATGATTAAAACACATGTTTTGATTGATACAAACCGTTTAAACGTTATAATTTGCATCTACCACAATGTATTTTAGGCACATTTCATGTTTATTGTTGTAAATATTATCTCTGTAACAAATGTCGGCAACATTGTTGTTTCAACCTTACCATGAATTGTATCTTTACATATTACATTTCATGCTATTTTTTTGTTTACAAAATTATTACATACTAGAAAATAAATGCCCAAAATAAAACTTATTTGTTTTGTTGTTAATTTCATTTTTATAGACTAATTAGAATTAGCAAATTGTTATCACACAACTTTTTCATACTGATGTTGGTATTACCGTCATGCTGTCGGCGGTTTTAAAACATTCCAAATGCAATGTAATTGTAATGACAAGGCCGACATGTATCCTATATAATGATAAAAACATGTCTAGTAATGATCAATGTCAATGAAGTGAAGTTCAAATAAACTTAACTGATACCAGACACATCAGTTAAGATCTACATCTTGTGTTGTCCTACTCCAATAGAAATGTTAAGTGAGATCGGAGTTTGTCGCTCTGATAAACTGACACTTGTGTAAACATTTTCTTTATTCTTATTTCTTCTAACTCCTTTCACCAACTGGTGATAGAACACTCGCATGTTGAAATGTAAGTCTCTCGTTGCTGAGTCCATCCAGCTCTAATGGGTTCCTGAGTTAATCGGGTAGTTTAAACGCGGCTGTGACGGCATAATTTAATTATGCCATTTTCAAAAAAAATTTTGACTCTATTTCATCTGCTAGATTGACCTTCACATTTTAAAGATAACGTAACTTCCTTAGATTTTATGGCAACTCTTGGTAAATATTTGTAACATTACAAACAATGATTAACGTGAACATAACCAACGGTTCATAATGAGCTCACAACATATTTAAAGATTGAACGGATATTTTTTATTTATAGAATAATTTTAGACTTATTTTGATACAACGGAAGTTGCTTAAATTTTGACAGAAAGCAGAGAATTATATTGTTTACTTACATGTGAAATGTCGTTTATCTATTTAAAACATTAATCAAGTTATATGCTTTTGAAAAAAAATGGTAGAATGTTCCACTATCTGTTACCGGAAATCGCTGAAAAGTTGATACAGAACTACAAATTTGATATAATACTTGTACATGAGATTTCATCCACCTAGCTATAACAGTATTCAAGTTATCGTGTATACAGACACACATACGCACACATAGACATGCGGACATAATTGCAAAGCCCAGTTTTTCCGATTCGATTTCGCATAGATATTATTTTTTGCGAGATAAAAATATGTCCCCTATACTTTGAATGTGATGAAGTACTGAGGTGTAAATCGATGAAAAGTGTCATTTGATTTTATGTGAACGATCATAATACTTCCTCTATACTCTGTATACGAGAAAATAAAAAGGAGTACAGTCTAAGGGAAGCAACAATGAAAATATTTTAAGAGAAAAGATTTTCATGATTATCTTTCTTTTTTTCCTGTAGTGTCAATAGTTTATGTCGTAAATCTCTCTATGCTTAACACAGGAATATATTAACCTCCATCGAATTATAGGGGCATTCATATATTGTATAAATTGTGTTCCATAAAATTACATCTTCTTAATGTATTTATTGTTTTGTTTTGTCTTTGGTCATTTACTATTGGTGCCTTTAGTTGGCGCTGTCCTGTAAGATCTGCACGAACAAAGTGTCATGGTCAAAAGGAAATAACAATGAAAATATTACACATTCAATAGAATTCCATGGTTGTCTTTCTTCATATTTATTTTCAGAGCCATAATTGTGTTGCCAACGTTATAGCTAACATTAATAAAAACAATACTAAAAGTGAGGCTACCGAATCAGCACCAATGAAGTCATCAACTTGTGTCGTTTAAACCTTACTAAAAGAATCTTAAAGTGGCTATTAATACAATAGTGTGAAGCTGGGTAGCCTACAAGGTGACAAGTTATTGTACACGGAATCAAGTGCACATACCTGTTCGGTTTCTTTGATACAAAACAAGGTATTTTAAAGTTTACAACTGAAATTTTAAACACAATTTTAACACGTTTTCTCTGCCGCCCACGTATTGATTTTAAAGTCCAGGCCAGCTTAAGATGATGTAACGGGCCTGTTAAGGGAATAAAGACAATATATATTAACATGCAGACAATAGAGAAAGCTCTATCAGAAAGAGAAAAAGACGTCAGACACGATTAGACAACTACATAAAACAAAATAGGACCGGCTCAGTGTACTAGTGTCAGTGGATGCAACACCGATGTAGATACAAAAGGAATCTCTAGGTGTGAGCTGTATGGCAAGGAATATGCATAGTAAAATTGTCTACCTTGTTTGTCAAGTAAATTGTTTGGATTGCTTCGATTTCCTGTGGCATGGCACTGTTCCTTATGATATGACACGTACGCATCCTTAAATACCTCGTTACACTGTGATACAACACAGTAAAATGCCCTCCATACAATACACTATACCCAACACGGCGTTTATTCCTACTAAAATAACGTTCGTTTTCTACAATATTTGCAACTTGGGAAAAAAGAATGTAATGGAATTGAAAAAAATAGTAAAAAGGCCGGTAAAAAAACATTGCTGCAATAATTTTATTATTTTTGTTTTAATCAAAATGTGTAGAGATTGTATGAACTACAAAAACTTTGTGTATGTGTGTGTATATGTGTGTGTGTATTTGTGTGAGTATGTTCTGTGTATCGAGCTACAGTTTGCATTTTTATCTCATCACTAGAGCTACGGCAACATCTATATTTAGCATCGATAACGTCTAACAAGGATAACGCACTTATCGGTTATTCCTAAACACCTGAAAAAGGTGTGTAGATCTATGTGTAGCACCACGCGAGATGTTTAGATCTATGTCTATCATAGTTCGAGGTGTGTAGATCTATGTCTATCATAGTTCGAGGTGTGTAGATTTATGTCTATCATAGTTCGAGGTGTGTAGATCTATGTGTATCATAGTTCGAGGTGTGTAGATTTATGTCTATCATAGTTCGAGGTGTGTAGATCTATGTCTATCATAGTTCGAGGTGTGTAGATTTATGTCTATCATAGTTCGAGGTGTGTAGATCTATGTGTATCATTGCTCGAGGTGTGTAGATCTATGTGGATATTTGCTCGAGGTTAGTGTTAAAATGATTGGCACTTTGAAAATTGTTTCAGTCGAGATGTAAATAGAATGATTTATAAATAGAATTATAATGAAATTACGTCTACTTGAGCTTGGACGTTTTGCTCGTGTACTCTAGTCTATCTCTGATGGTGTCATTTGAGGGGGAATTGAGAATAATTTATTTAATAAGCTTTCCCATCTTGATATTCCCCATGATCAACACAGCTGGTGTTATAAGTGTTTCCCTAATGGTTTGTGGTCTACGATCAGAAAAGCAGCTTTGAACATCCAGTGATAACCGATTTTTTGATGGGCACAAAGCCTAGAACAAGCAGAATAAACTTGTCGTCGAATTTAGCTCTCTTCGCCTTCAAGATTTTAAAAAATCTGACCAGCGTTTCATAAAAATCAGCTCTTTATTATATTATAACGAACTGTAGTCCACTCCGTATTATTCCACCTACACGTAAATAAATATTTACATTACATTTTGTTAACGTACAAATAGAGACGATGTAAGCGTCTTGTACACGGGTCAATTAACCTAGCATTTCACTTCTATTACTCACCTCAACTGAATTATACCCATATGAGTTAACAAATCCCTCCTGTTAAGTACACACATTATACCTAGCATAAGTAAAATTTAAAACTCAGAGCACATTTTACATTCAATACATTTCTGGAAGCGCCGGGTACATGCTGCTAGTTTTGTATTTTAAAAAAAAATGTGTTTCAGCAGAAGAATGTACATGGTTATTACAACACACTGGTGATATTCTTACAGTGTAACCCAACAAACTTGGTACTGTGACATATCTGGGCTAGGGTTAGAAAATACATGCGTCAGTATTTCAATTGTATCCTTGAAATAGCTAAATCTATTATAGGTCTGAATCATCACATATGTGATTGCCATATGACTACACTGTACTAAAGTGAGGCTAAATTCATCTACCAGATTTTTCATAATGCGTCTCTCTGCATTTTCACTATATAACCACATAAGTTTTCATATTACACAATTTAATCAACAACTCTGTTTTGCTTTTGACAGCTCCTGCGACCCAGCTGATGCCAGGTTGTACATGTAACTCCTCTTCCTTGGGTCCATTAGTTGAGTTGATTGATGTGACCTAATGTAAGGGTGATAACTGACTCTTCTCAACTCACTAATCAGATATGTTTTATTTAGCTGCAATTATTCAATATTCTGTCACATCATAGGGCTAATTACTATAATATTTAACAATTCTTACAATTATAATTGTATTCAGGTATACTAGCTTTTATTAGCATTTCATGTATAGAGATGTAATTGTATATGTATAGGCTTTATATATATATATATATATATATATATATATATATATATATATATATATATATATATATATATATATATATATATATATATATACTTATATATCAGGGGCGTAGCGAGGGGGGGGGGGGGGCGGGGGTGCGGACCGCACCGGGTGACACCATTTAGGGGGGGATGTCACCAAGGCAAAAAATAGCAAAATATGTAGAGAAAAACTTGAGGGGGGGCGTGCGAATCGAAAGTTTGAGGGGGGGGGGGTGCAAATAAAAAACTTGAGGGGGGGGGTGCAAATCGAAAGTTTGATGGGGGTGGGTGCAAATCGAAAACTTGAAAATTAGTCACCGGGAAGGGTCGCAACGCCTCTGGGGGGAGTGACACCATTAAGTGCCGCACCGGGTGACACCCGACCTCGCTACGCCAATATATATATATATATATGCGTGTATGCGTGTGAGAGATTCAGGTGCGTAGCGACCATTCCCGGCGCCAGGGGACAAACTTTCGATTTGCACCCCCCCCTTCAAACTTTCAATTTGTTTTTCCAATCCATTTTGGCGACCCCTAACATCGGCGCCCGGGTACAAAAGGCCCCATCCCTGCCCTCCCCCTCGCTAAGACTCTGGAGAGATTGTGTACATATGTGTGTAGATGTGTATGCGTTTCGTTTTTTTATTACATTTCAGGGCTAGGTAAAAAAAATAAACAAAAGAGATCTCTGAGTACACAATGTATTTAA